AGTTAGCAAACAGACCTGGCATCTGAACTGTGCATACGTGACAGAGAATTTCAGAAGCCTTGTTGCAAATAATTTTTACATGTAATATGTGCATGAAATAAGATTAAGTCCCGCTGAAACAATTTAAAAAGATATTGGAAAGAACAAAGTAGTGTATGACAGCGTATTTAAGCAATGTGTTACCATTACAATATTCAGTATTTAATTTCTTCTCAAAAGGCTAGGCAGACACACCTGCCATGTAGAATAAAAAGATAAATTGTATGAGCATAGATATAGCTATTTATAGGTGTTGGTTTATATACTTAAACTAAATTAAAATTTCCCACTGAGAACCATAACTTCAAACAAAGTTGATGGAAAGTGTCAAAATCAGACTGCTAACTCAGATATTTCAGTTGAAGTAGCTACTTAAAGAAAAAAGCAAAAAATTGTGGCTAGTCTTTCATTTGCGTATTTGCCATAGCGATTTTGGACAGGGATTAGATGCTAGCTGCACTGTATAGATTGAGACTGCACTTAAGTAGGAGTTGATATTAACAAGAGAACAGTTATACTGTTATCAGCAAAAATGCTACCTAAAATTCTGAAACTACAGCTCTGCAAATGTGAAGGGAACTGAAGATAGAAAATAGCATGTTGCAGTCAGGCTCTGCACCATCACGCCCCTAAAAATAGCAGCCTATTGTAAAAACCAGAATTCAACAACAGCTTTAGGTAAAAACACTTTGGTAATAATACTCATACAATCTCGGTAGAAAATAATACTAAGAATTTCCTGTGTCCTGCTCCCACAGTTCCATGCTTCCTCTGGTGTGCCTTTGTCCTGTGCTGGCGGACATGGATCAGATTAGCATTGATTCATTGGTTCAGACTGGTTCATGTGAAAATACTCATTTAAAAAAAAAAAAAAAAAAAAAAAAAATTATAATAATAATTTAGGTAACTTCATTTCACAGCATGGCCTCAGAAGACTCAGGCTGGTAAAACTGAAGGGATGTTCACAGAAGTATAAAAAAAAAAAGGATAAAAGTGAGCAAAGAGAAAGAGGACAGTTGCTAATTTCTTGTCTCTGTGAACTACAAACTATGCCCTTCAGTAATTAAGGCTTTAAGTGCAAGTAATTGTAATATTGTGTTTCCTGAGATAAGGTCCAACGCTACTTATTACTGATTGACGCTGAATTAGAAAATCTGAACTTCTGCTTCACTTTACCCCACAGAAAGAGCCATGTCTTTTCATGAAGACAATCTTCTCAAGCATTGTTCTTGGAATGGTCCTCATTGTGATTAAATTGATATGGAAGTTAAAGTCCTGTCTTCTACTACAACCTTTCAGAAAGTACTTATTAAAAAAAATATAGAGGTCTCCACATACTTTCAGATGTACAATGTAATATGTTGAACTAATGCATTCAGCCGCAGTCCGTAACTATAATTTACATAATATTTACATACAGGATTCAACACGTGGAACAACAAAACCAGATGAATGTGTTGGAAATCAAGAACTTGTTGAAGAACATTCAAGCCTTTATATGTAAGAAGATTTATCAGCTGGAGAAATCTTGCAATATAGAAAATGAGTGTTAACGCTCTTAACACACTGCCATAGTTAACACACATTGCCAGGATATTATCAAACACTGAAATAGTGCAAAGTTTTAGACTGAAATGGGTATCTGAGAACTATGAAATCCTAGGTAGCTTCATGGACAGTGAAATTCACAAGCAAAGCTTGTTAAATAGCAGAAAATCACAATATCAAGAAATGAGGGAGGGTAGGATTACACAACACAGGGCTACAGAAACAACAATACATAATGGGGCAGAGGTACACACAGATGAGATGTCCTCATACCTTGAACCACTTAAAGCCAAAATGGTTGACCTCATGCATTGATTCATTAAACAGCTTCAGACAGGCAGTGCAGTGGTAGAGAACAAGATAAACAGAAGAGAGGAAATAAAAAGCATGCAATTAAAAGAAAATTATAATCATTTTGGACAATATTAAAATTTCCAACTCACGCATACAATTTGTATTTGGCCTAAGAATGATATAATCACCTGTAAAGATCAAAAGATTAATATCCTTCACAAAAACAAAGCCTTGCATTTGTAAAACTGCAAAGCTACTGAAGGGCTTCTGTCATAACACTAGAGAATATAGAGCAAAGCAGGCATTCTCTTAAGTAATCAAAGAAATGAAAAATAATTGAAGGAATGTATCCCCCTTGCATTTGAGGTGATAACCAGCTACTTGCCATCACTCCATGACTTGACTATATCTAATAAAGAACAACAACTGGGCAAACTATTGGGCACGGTGGGGCAAAACAGCTATCTTGTGGCTGGAACAAGACCCTCTGGTTGCTTTTCTGTGTGACATCCTGTTGGTCATTACACTGTATAAAGTATGATGTGCCACAGAGGGCAGTTTAGTTATTCTGCTGGACTAAGACACAGCTGTCATAATCAATGATGGTGTGACCTAGAGGTCTTCCTCTTCTGATCCCAGTGGTTTCAAATCCATCCTTCTTCCTCCTCACTTCCATACAAACTACTACATCCAAATACATTTCCTGTTTAAGATGCTGTTACCCATCATATTCCAGAAATCTTTTCCCACAACTCATACTTCTCTTGGCTTTTCTCCTCACCTCTCAACCTCTCTCAGTGATTCTTATGGCTTACTGGCCCTCCAACAGCACATTTCCATCACCTTGCCTCATCATACAGATTATACTGCCATTCAATCTATTTACCAGTTATTTTCCCTTTTCATCAAGCTCTTACCACATGATCTCATTGTTTGCCTCTCATAAGGCTTTGCTGGTGAATGTTTTCAAAAACCATAATGGAAATTTGTAGATGTTCCCTAAGCACTAATCACTTTCCATATTTTAGTTTTAGGATGTCTCAGGTACAAATAAGATTCCACTTCTACAACAGTTTCCTATTTTACTAACTCAGACTTAACTCTTGTTCTCTCCATAATAAGCTTGCTTACAGCAGATAGACAACCACAAGGACTTCATGCTAATGGGCTAAGAATGAGTCCTCCTTTCTATCCTGCAACTGAAAGTTTCCTTGCTATTTCATTTCTTTTCATCTAGGACAGAACCTTCATATTTTTGTTAATCTTGACAGTACCTTTGACTCAGATGTCCTTCTACTCCTTGTGCAAAGGTTATTTTGAAACATTTGCAGAATTTCTTTTATGGAATATCTCTAATGTAAGACTTTTCTGGTTGTCCCTCTATTGCTAAAAGTTCTTTGGTTAGGTTTATTTTGTGTCTGAATGTGCAAAAATCTTCTTTCTGCAGATTATGGCAATTTGTGCAGGAAAGTCCTCTGTAGCTTTGATGTTATTGTGTATAGTGTTAATGTTATTAGCACGTTTCTTTACTAGCAAATCAAATATAAGCTACCAATCACCTGCAAACTGTGCTCCACTCATCCTTCACCTTAAATACTGAGGTGACCTGCGATCAGCCTCTAGAATAAGCCTACCTCATACTTGTATTTCTGTAAATTTACCAGTTATATTCATCTTCATACTTATTTCCTAACATCAGACATTCCTAACACTTACAAAATTAATGTACTACATTCTTCAAAGCTATCCTTCAAAAATTCACTAAACCTTACGCATCTTGTGTTTAGACCACAGCCACACAAAACGTTCTACAGGCTTTTCTACAGAATTTTCTACAGAATTCTACAGGCTTCTCTACACTCAAAGAACACCATTGTCACAATCCTCCAACAAAGAAATTAAAACATTATGACATCATAGATAACAAATTAGATGTTCTTTTGCTTACTTGTGCATCTCAGCAGAGAACTTGCTCTTCTGTGAGATACATATATTTCTGAGGAGGAAATCTATTCTTTTATGTGGTATTCACTACCAAGATAACATTTCTATAAGATAAATTTTTTTTAGAGTTTACAAGAAGTTTAGAAAGAAGGCACTCTTGAAAGTAAATTCCATAAAGTTACCTAGAATCTTAGGATACTTTAACCAGAATTATCCTCAGTATGTTTACCAGCAAACAGTTGATACTGACTGTAGCATAAAGAGCAAGAGTTGCTTTCTTCTTGAAAACTTGATTATTAACTAAAAAGAGCATAAAGATACATCTTGAAAGAAGGTGATATAAGAATACATGTTGAAAAAAAAACCTTTAAAAATGTTTTAAAGTGTAGTTAGTTAAATCTTTTTCATTTAATTAACAGAAAGAGAATACATCATTGCAATGTAACTGACCAAATGCCCCTGTTTGCTTATTATGGTCAGGAGAGGAACAGATAAAACACTGAAGAGGTTCACAGAAACCACAGTAAGAACACCAGGCTCAGCTCCTTATACTTCAAAAGATTCATCAAAATATAAAGGAAGTTTATTCATTAGATATGGTATGTTTTCTTAGTGATTAATTATGGAAGTCAAAATCTGGTCCATACATGATTCTTCAGGATATCTAACCCGTGACAGAATAAATTCAGGCATAGAAGTTTACACCTGTGGTTTCAAGGCGAGTTTTTCTGTGTGTACACTTGCCCTAAATAAAGGGTTTGTCTTTCTATCCAGTAGTTGAGAGACTGTAAATGAAATGAGATTGTGGCCCATATGCATGACCATGCTAATAAAATTCACCTTCTTTAAACATGCACAATGAACAACACAGTGAGTGTAAGCATGTTTACATATAGAAGGATAGCTCTGATAGGTAAGATTAGCCAGAAGAATTATTACATAAAATAATACTTAAAAGATTAGGATACCTTGTATTTCTTTCTCTTTTTTTATTTTTCCCCAAGAAAATATCACCTGTGAAAAACAAATCTTAGCAGATTTTATGGGTTTTGTTACCCAAACTTGAACAGAGATAGCTGATTAAACAAAACCATCTATGTTTCACAGTACAACAGTGGAAACAGTACTTTACTGTTTCCTAAGAGGACTACCAGCGACTTTATAAGATTGCAGACCTGTTTCTCAGCATTGATCCTGGCTGACTCCTCTTGTGCTAGCACCATTTCCCGCTCTGCAGTTATCTGAACACTTTCTCTGAGTGCCTCTTCCAATTCTTCAATCCGATCATCCTTTTTACGCAGATTGTCCTGGAAAATGATGGGAGACTAGGTGAAGAAGACTTGTTTGGGACTATAGCCTTTCAGTCAACCAAGTTCTATGCCAAGCAAAATCTGATTCTCCCTACCAAGGTGCAATTGCAGGCAAATTATCTTCACACAAGGGAAAGAAAGATGAAGTGATGCAAGAATAGGAAGAAGATCACAGTAAAGAGAAGGAAAAAGCTAGCAAAGTAGGACCTCAAAGCAAGAGGGTTTGCCCTCTCATCAGGCACATCACAGTCTTGCCAGATTAAACAGAATAGCTAAGCAAGTTTTGCTTGTGAATGAAGATTAGTAAGCAGTTCCAAAGAAGGAGAGTAGCCAGAATTGGTGGGAAAGCAGGCACGCAGAATTGTCCATTTGCTCACACATTCACCAGCAGGCATGGTAAAACGGGAAACAAAGCACTGCAGTCTTGTAACTTGCTACTTCCAGGTTAAGTGAGAGAAAAACAAACATCAACCAAACAGAATTTTCTCTTGTTCAGATAAGACTTAAAGGAAGTTTCTTCAACAACTATCTAGGAATTAAGAATGGCAGTTTAAACCTCAGAAAGTATCAAGACTATCTGAAAATACATTCTTCAATTAAGAACATCTTCACAGCTGTAGGTTCCGAAGTCCCACCTATAGTCAAAGACCATGGAAGGAAACTCTCTTCAGAAAGTATATGGTTTAATTGGTAATAATATAATTTTAAAAATGATATTCAAAATGAATGGCATTCTTATTTGTATAGGAGACCCGTATTTTCTTAATATTGCTAGGAAAATAATTGTGTATCTTCTGCCTCTGCTGTAGTAGCTTGTACAAAAGACTGCACACCAGGCTGTCCCCAGGAGCATGGCTGCTTAACAAATGCATCAGAAATGACCAGCTTGATGGAAGATTTCTGCTTTTCTCATCTTGCAGATCAATTTAGCTCATGTGGTTCAGATCAGATATTAGTGCATGCTTAAGTTAATGCAAAGGCTTTTTAGACAGCTCAGCAGTAGTGGAAGAATCAAATATTTTTTCCCTTTGGTTTTTGCATTTCCCTTTTTATCAGGTTTAATCCTTAATCTTCTGTCCTGACTGATATTTTCCACTGTTTCTCTGTGCTTCACGCCACATAAAGATTAAGGATAAAGACAACTTATTTGGAAAAAAAAACAAAAAACAAACAAACAAAAAAAAACCAAAAACAAAACAAAACAAAAACTTTGTAATGCCAAAATGAATTGCTGTAGTTCTAAAGAGTGAACCTTATTCCTTAATTGCTGCTCCCCAGGAGTTTCAGTACATCACCAAAGATAGTGCCATATGAACACCAGTTCTGGCAGTCTCATTACTTCTGAAGAGAATTTTCCAGCAGAGATGCAAAGCTTTGTATCCAAACAGTACAAGACTCCTGGCTCCACTGCTCTTACACAGAGAAAGGCTAGTTCAACCACTAGCAAAGGCAGAGAGATTTGCCAGGTTTTGCAGATGGACAAGCTTTCCGCTGTTGGTTACTTTCCAAAGCAGGTTCACAAGGCAAGTAACCACTGATTTCTAAAGACACAACTGAAGAGATCTTCATTTAAAAAATCAGAGTTGCAGAACATATTTTAATACTTTCTAAAACCTACTGAAACACTGATAAAGTCTTCCAAAACTACTTCATGGTTATGATTAGTCTAACTGAAGATTCAAAAAGAAACAGAGTGCAGACTTGAAAACTATTTACTCGCCAATCTACATTCTGTGGGGAACATCAATTGTACGTCTTGATACTGTTCACGGATAGCCAAGGAAGTGTGAAAGTATACCTCTCCATTTCAAACAACAGAAGTGGAGACGGTGGATTTGAACAGCTGCGTGTAAAACTGAAACTGGTTTAAAATTAGAGTGTAGAATGGAGCACTGTAACGTGTATTGTATGCCCACCCTTCATCATCATAGGCCAACATTTAAGAGGTTAATTCAACACGGCAAAGTTCTCTGTCCAGACACGTGAATCCTTCAGAGACAGGAAAAAGAGTAGCTCATGGTATGAAAACTGTGCAATTCAGTACCACATCACCTGCACTTGAAAAGTCTACAATTACATATTTTTTTCCAAAATAATATGTGAACTTTTATATATAGACCGGAGAGCTGCAAGTTTAAAAAGAAGACAACAGTGCTAGAAAAACAAAAAAAAAACTGCCAGAAATGATGATTTTAAACTTCTGTCAAATGTTCATTACCCATCTAGTAAATTAAGTTTGGTTGCAAACATCCACCTTCTGTCTCAAACAAACAGTTCAAAGAGCGGTGATGGCTTCTTGCTTGCTCTTAACAGTGCCACAGTGTGACTACCCACTTTACAAAATGACGTCTATGCCTGGAAGAGCAGAGGAACTGCTGCACAGTCAGACACCAGCAGCACTCCAAAGTGGAGAATAATTTCAGGAAACTTTTAAATAAATGTTTTGTTTCCATCCATTCTTTTTCCATCATGAAATGATCAGTATTTGATTTTATTTTTTGTTTTTAACACACGCTGCTGTTTCAAACACAACACTCCAATAGAGAAAAAAGTAAATGAAGCCAAACCAGCATTTGCCTTTTAAAATACCAGCACTGTTTTCCCAATTGCTTGGCTCAACAGTCCGAAACATGATAGGCTCATGTTGAACATCAACCCATGCTGCTCTTGTGGCTTTCCTCTTTTTAATTCCATGAAATATCTTATCGCTATTATGAGAAGCAGTACACTTCGAAGAAAGTACTGTATAAATTGTAACTACCATCACCTATTATGTCAGGAGTTTTCTACAGAAAGAGAATATTTTGACATTTAATTCTACAGATCGTTCTGGAAAACTAAATCCAAACTAAACTAAAATAGAATCTACCAAATAGGAAGAAAACCAGAATTTTAGAAAGGAAATCAGAAACCTTTCAACATGAACAGAATACAAAAATGCTCTCTCGAGATGAGGAGGCTGTGATAATGCAGGTACTTTACTACAGGAAAAAGAAAACTGTTATCTCCCAGTTTTTCACATGCTGCTGAAGCAGGTAACCCCAATAGTGAAATGTATTTATTCTCTTAAATAGGGGACTAGAGCACAACTTGAATTACTTTCTACATATAATAAAATGTGACACAGAGTGCAAGTTTCTCACTGGCTATTCTGATGAAATTGCATAGTGATAGACCATAGCAGTTTCCTTTCACGAATCTTATACACAACTATACAGAAAGAAAAAGGAAGTGTTACTTACCTGTACAGTAACTGGATTCTTTGAGATGCATTACCTACCCAAACATCTCCATGACCCTCACTCAGCTCTGCGCCCAAGTCCCGTATGTGTGAGATTCAATGGCAGAGAGGGAATTAAACATGGACAGGGAGATAGCTCTGCCTTTATGCTCACTGGTGATACCACAATGAAAATGAAAAACCCAGTCGACGCTGTGGGAGTGCCAGGAGTTCAGGCACAATATGATTTTTTCTACAAACACTATGATCCTGCAGCTGATCCGTATGCAAAACCCATTCCAATACATGCCTGTCTTAAAGACTGAAAGGAAAAGGAGGTGTGACTGACACACGGTTCTGGACTTTTTATTTCACTTCAGGAAGGAAGTGGTGGGATGTCCAAGTGATGCATGTTAAAAGGATGTATCAATTTAATCTTTCCTTCGTTTGTAATGTGTTATCTGCCATGAAGTTTTGTGAAAACGCATGAAATCGGATGCAAGTTTTCGCCAAGGCATTTAGGTTCAATTAAACCTGAAGTATCCTGGCAAACTTCTATGTAACTGCAGCTTTGTGGCTTAACTTTACTGTTGGAATTGAAATTTAGATGCATTTCTCTGGTTAACTCTTGGGAAAGATTAGTTAATAGTCTGAGAGGGCAATTAACTGCTCCTTTTGACTGTTAAAAGAATTCCTAGAACTAGCCAATCACCTAGGTAGGGAAAGATCATTTTCATATAAACCCATAATTAATGTAATTAAGCACATTTTGCCCTTTGTACTTCCATAGATGAGAAAGGAAGAAGACATTACTGCAGTGTTGGTTGCACTGCTGCACTGCTAAGCCCAGGAGGAAAGATGCTATGACGAAATCAGAAATCTAAATTTAAGAAGAGAGGAACTGATGAATATAAATCATCATGAATTTTTGCTGCTCTTTCCTCTGAAAAATACTTGTAAAAACCTGAAGGCCTTTTTAAGAAAGGCTTAAGTGAATATGCACTGTTGTGGTATCAAAAGGTGAAATGAATGTCTCATTTTATTTTGGAAGCAAATAATCACAGTTATTTAAAACTCAAGTGAGTGTAGTGGACCTCCTTCATTTGGTTCCATGCTGCTAAACTACTTGCAGAGTAGTAAACTACTTGCAGAGGTCTCTGAACAAGAAAAGGATGAAAATTTGTCACTCATAAATGGAGGAATCTCTCTTTCACTGATGAGATTCTTTTGACTTACTGGGTTTTCAAATATATATATATATATAATATGCATAATATATAATATTATATGTATATATGTATATATAATATACAATATATGCCCTACACACACACACACACACACACATATATATATATATGTATATGTATACGTATACATAGGGCAAATATTGTGGCATGGAAGTTGGAACTTGATGATTCTTGAGGTGCCAAGCCATTCTATGATTCTATGATGATTCTGTGATTTGCTGAAGAAGATGGCAATAAAAGAAAAAATGCATGCTGTCTTGAAGAGTGCTTGAAGAACAAAATAAGAAAAGACTATTAGTTCCTAATGGGGGAAATATCTGTAGGGTAGTTTATAACCTGGTTCCAAGATGTACATAAACATGGATCCAATATTAATGATTCTGAAATCAAAGTAGCAGAGGCAAACATTTGTGTAATAGCTGGTTCTGTATATATTGATGGGCATGAGTAAAAACTGAGTTGAAGGAATGATTACTATCAGTGCTAAAGCTACTATCATCAGTGTTGCATACAGATGCATTGACACT